AAAACTATAGTCTTCATCGTTCGGAATAGAGGACACTATCATACCATAATCTAGCCTTGCTCCTGTTCTCTACTGGAAGCTAGCATTCGTGTACAATAAAGCAACATGGTAGAACATCAAGTAAGCTTTATAATATGTATATATATGTATATATATATATATATATATATATATATATATATATATATATAGAACAGTAATGCGAGCTATTTTTCTAAGAAGTAGTCGTGCCGTTCACGCTCTTGTATATATGACGTTTCTGTTCGGTAAATGACTGTCGTATGGTTTGTGTGGTGTTTTCGTCAGTCCTTTTGCCGAATAGAGGCGTGCATATTGGCAAGCTCTTTGACAAGCTCGAATCGACTGATCATCGTCACTCCAATAGGCGTTTCTATCTGCAGTTGCGGTCGCTCTCGGCGCCAACACGTATAAGGAATAACTACTGCCTTTTTACTACTACCATATGTTTTTCGCGAAGCTGAAGCTTAAGTCAGATTTCCCAGTATCAGTACCGCTACGCTTAAACGTAGTTTCGAATGCCGAGAAACGTTAACAACGATGGCCAACAGATGGTAGAGCCTAATTTAGAGTTAACAGTAGCATTTTTTAGTACTACTTCTAGATTCATATTCCAAAAATTAGGCCATACATGGAAGGGAAAGCGGTCACTTAGCTTTGTTTGTGGTAGTAGCCGCCTCTCTATAAAGTCATATTTTACAGAATCGAGTCTGCGTTTCGTGAGCTGGTCCTTGTTACAAACACCTAGTCACTGATAGAACGACCCGGAAGAAAAACGTCTAGCCATGCAAGGATAAAACTCCCTTACGGAAATGTTTAGTCACTGAGATTTGAGGCGTTGCGGAACTTACGTTGAGTTATGTCAGATCGTAATACGTTACATGTCCGTTTCGTTTTGGTGGATATGAATAAGCCATTTACGAGAGAAGAACATCGTAGTTAAGAGCAAGAGTCCATTGACATATCTATATATTGGGATACACCAGAAGATACGGAAGAAGATGGATAAAAGGCAAACAGCCTAAAAGTCATTCTAAGAAGATCACGTTCTACCAAACACTGTAGATGTATGAGCGTGAGTTGAAAATTTGAAAATACCGCCAGTGTTTGGAACCGTATAGCAAATAAACTCTACCGCCAAGAAAAGGAAGAAAAGGACGGCAGCGACGCTCACCGCTGTCGTATAGCGGTCCTCGATTACAATATGTAAGGAGGGAACTAATGATAGCAAACAGTAGCCACAAACTGAGATTGGCAAATCCGCTATTCGGTCCTGTTATACTATACATGTGTGTACATCGTACTGTGCAATCTCGCGATGATCTCACATTTACTTTTTGTTATCTGGGCGGCGAAATTAGCCGCAGTGCAGTAATACCATTTAGCACCTAACCAGACGCCCACACCCCCAATCAGCCGTCGATATGTCCATCCGTTTGAGCGGCGTGCGCTTGCATGATTGACACGACCGGCTTTACTTTTCAACGCCTGATGCAGTTGCTACCACCATCACGGACACTGGCAGTGTAGTTGCCGCGCTATAGCAACAGTCGGCGACGGTGTCGTTGACCCACCGCTGCTGCTGACGATGATGCTGGGATGCCGATGCCGGTGGAACGGCGGAGCAAGTCGGAGACAGTCGTGGCCCCACTCGATAGCAGCAACAGCGATGTCAGCTCAGCGCGAGTCGACATCTATGGACCAGTGGTGCCGCTGCCGCTGCCGATCGCAGTAGTAGCAGTAGTGGTAGTATCAGTCGAAGTAGCTGGTCTGACCTGAGCGTCGAGCGGCAGCAGCAGCGATGGTGTTGAACAGACTGAATTGGACGGATTGACTGACTGACTGACTGACTGACTGTTCGCTCTACACATCCCTCCAGCCCTGACCACCGTCTGGCTCGCACGTCGCGCCGCATGACATCAGCTTGCAGCAGCGGTAACACAAAGCATTGAAGAACAGGCTCCGTCCGACTGAGGGTCGCACTGCCATTCCGTCAACTATCCGACTGTTGGACTATCTACGCTCCAGCTTAAAGTTGCTGCGATACAAGCACGCACATACGAGTGAAGTGGCCCATATAAACACGTAGGCTGGCATAGATACAGCAGGAACAGCTACCAGTACAACCATCATCAGCGGCAACTGCGGGACCGATAAACACACGAGCACGCACACAAATACACTGCCAAATACAGCATAGCCAATTCACAAACACACAGAGTCGCTAATATCTATGTATGGCGGTAGGCAGCGGTCAAGGGATCGTTCTAATAACACAGCGGAATCACCTAACAATAATAACAAAGACAGCAGGAAAAGGACAACAACAGAACAATAACAGGCATCAGACAACCGCAGACCGAGTGAAGAACTCGTATTACAGCAGTCAATGACAGTCACAGACGCGTTCATCCTTGCACGGTTAAAACAAATGCTCAATCATGATCTATTCAGTTCTACATGGGGGAACATGTATTACATAATACGATCATTATTGGACAACAATCTAAGTCAACGTGTTAAGTCTTGCTATCTACTATCCGTGCGACGAGTGGGACGACCTCCTACACGTAACTGTAAAGCGGTAGATAAACAATTATACCACCAACAGAAGAAATATTGCAACTGTCCAGAATGTCAAAAAATAGCCGTTACGTCAAACGATCTGATTCAGGTGAACACGACATCGGATCTTGCTGTTCGGGTTTAATGCAATAAACAAATTAAATTATATAATTTTTACACTAAGTGATGCTGGCTTCGGTCTTCTAGCTTCATTTGAAATAGAGCTGCTATATGCGTTACATATCCACACAAAACGCACGCTATAGAGTCGTATAAAGATCAAATTTTCACAACAACAAATAAGCAACATTTTTACGAGAAAATCTGATTTGTCTATATAAAACAGGCAGTATCCATTCAACAAACACTATTGTTGCTTTTTATTCGTTAAGAATCATTTATCAAGTTGCCGTGACTTCACTAACTGGACATTTTCCCTATATATATATATATATATATATATATATATATATATATATACAGAAAATATTTCTCGGAATTCCAACTCGTGTGCGATAATAATTGTCGAAATTCACAAAAATGTACAGAATTAAACCTTAATTTAATTGAAAAACTAAGTTCGCTCTAAGCGTGTGCCAAACGTCGTGTAAAAGCAGCGTCTTGATACATTCCATCAATTTTGCCAATTCCAAAGCAAAAATTGATTCTATGCTTCTCCATCAAGCAGTTGATGGCGAAGTGCCATAAAATTAAGCCATAGCCGAACATAGTCAAAACATCCATCAAACTGATGTATTGCAGCAGATAAATAATAATAATAATAATAATTATAACGAGTAACAGCGACTTCCACAAAAAGTTATGTTAGTGTTTAAATAAGAAGAAAACCATGACAGCGAGGTAATGCCTCCGTTACTCTACGTACATGCCAAATATATATATATATATAAGAAAGAAAATTCAATAAGTGAATGATCTAATGAAGGGTATTAGAAATAATCTGTGATGATCTCTCAACGAATCGTCAAGGTTAACGTCCTTATATATTGAAGTAAATATATGCCATCGATAGATGAAGGTCAATTATTAAAATCAAGTGTCCGCGTCGTCCCCGATTATGCAAGCTTGTTATTAGCGGACGGATATATCACCAATAGTTTTAGATGCCAAACTGAATTAGCTCACGAATTGTCTTCAAATGACTTCAAAACGCCTTAGATAATAATAATAATAACACTTCTTTATTACGCGCAGACTGCACTTCAATAAAAATGTCTCAAGGTAGACTCCAAACATTATAACAAATAAGCTAAAATCGTAAGCTAAAAACTAGAGGTACATATATATATATATATATATATGCGTTCAACGCCAGCCTCTGTTATCTTAGGCTTTTATTTTATGTCATTAATATATATATATATATATATATATTATTATCGCATCGTTGTAGTGTTAGGTTGTTTTTGTTTCATCCGCTGCCTTGATGAGGCATGAACATTCCCTTCGCTTCTTATAAATAGCCTTTGAACCGTTACAGGACTAAACGGAGCAGACATCGATCGTTTTCCTCGACTGTGGAACAGTCTGAAAGTAAAAATATCGTCCTATAGAAACATTTCCGCCGATATGAGTCCAACGTCAACAGCTGCTTGGAAACTTCAGAGTTCAAGCCTCAAGTCAGTAGTAAACGATCCAATGACGACGTAAAGCTGTTAGACAAAGCGGTACCAGAGCTCTACACAGAAGCTACACAGTGGTAAGACAGAGAGAGAGGGAGAGAGAGAGCGAGCGAGAGAAAAAACAGGCCATGTGTCGTATTACAAAGGTCTGTTTGGCTATAACCACCTTCGCGTCGTTGAGCATCATGACTGTAGCCAGAAACGGTAGCAAAAAAAAGCCAAATCGAAGAGTAATGACTGTTGCCGCATTAAAGAAAATCAGAGAATCCAAAAAGAAAAAATATGTGCTTTACTGTGGCTGCGTGAGCGTCAGAAAGCATTGGAAAAGGAGGAAGCCCGTTTTCTCATCCTTAGCGAGTTTTTCGCTTTCGAGGGGGATGGGAACGTTGGGAAATAACATCGCGAGCAAAACAGAGGCGAAGAAGATGAAGGAACGAACGTTCATGGGCAAGAGGGGCAGCAAGGGATCGCATGGGGCTTGGAAAGGAGCTGGAAGGCGTGGGTAAATCGTTCCAATCTGCGAAATTGGCGGAATTGAAATTCTCATCGTCCCCCGAGCTGCCTACTGCTCGCGCCCATTGATCCGACGCTCAGACTATATACGACAGCGGGAAGCCTCATAAGCTCTTTGCCTTTTCCGTCGTTCGTTCGCTCACTCGCAACGAGCGCCTATCCGTCGTCTTCCCATGGGCTTGTCTTTTTCTCCTTTTCCTCGATCGAGGCTTTCTTCTGCCGAGATCGCTGCTGGATTCTTCTTGGTTTCGTCCATTTCAGGCGGACAAGTTGGGAGAGACAGACGGCGGTGGCGGCCAGTCGAACAGTTGGAGATGGCGGTACGGTTGAATCGTGTGCTCACTTGCCCCACGAAGCTGTACACGGCACCGGCTACACGAAAACGCTACCAGAGAATCGGGGTGTGCAAGCAATGGCAGAGGAGCCAGCCGAGAAACAGACGCGAAGCGAGGCGGCCAGGCTGGGGGCCGGCCTAACCCAGGGATGCCAGCACTACGGAGGGATCGCTAGAGAGAAATGAGGAGATAGGGATCGGTGACGACGACGGGGGAAGGGGATCTGAGTAGAACAGCAGCAACTTTTGGGAGCCGTCTGAGAGCAGCAGCAACGACGAGAGCCAGAAGGAAACGACCGGGGCGTTAGGCTCTTCAATGTTCGTCGGTCGTCGGAGCGGCTGACGAACGGGATTCACCCACTCGCTCACCAGTTAGCCAGCCACCCAGCCAGCCAGTCAGCTAGGCGGCACGCCATGCAGGGTCCGATAGAAAACGGACACTGCTGTAGAAAGCCAAGTGGCTGGTAGATGCTGCTTTTGTGACAGGAAAAGCGGCGCTTCGAAAGGTGGCGCCACAATCGGCTGCTGGCGCGCTTAAGACATATTACGAGCGAACAGCGCCCCCTAGCGGGGACAATATCGTGCAGAGCTTTAGCTCCGGAACGGACTTATACGGTCGCAGACATGGTGATGCTGACCTTTTAGACGAGTAGTACGTAAGTGTAAAGTGAATGGTCGCAGGCTATCTGCTGCTGTCGCCGCCGCCGCCGCCGCCGCTACTGCTGCCGGCGGTGGCGCGAGTGGATACTATCTCTGGACAGTGGCGGCGCTCGTGGTCGTAGTAGGAGTAGCCAGTGTATGAATCGTTGCCTGCCTGTGAGTTTCTTGCTGCTTAAGCGAAAGGCAGAACGGGGTGACAACTCTAACGGAGCGTGGGTGGTTGATTGTCTGACGGCCTGGATGTGATATAGGTACGATAAGTATGGGGGACAAACGTGGTAGGCACAACGCCATGCGGCGCTGATGAGATATTGATTCTGATGAGCGGAGTCGGAGCGGTTGTGTGGGCAGCTTGAGACTTCTTGACGGAATTCTGTGTGTTGACGGTTACCACTACCAACGTTAGCACCCTCCATCGTGGATACTCCTTCTTAACGTTTAGCCGCTACCATCGCGGCTCGTTCCTGGCCTCATGCAGGTTCTCGTTATAGTAACTACTTCTCGTTCTGCTGTTCACCCCGAGACGGGAGAACAACGGTCGAATGAACTTTGTGCGCGAAGATGGGTGGAAATATCCGTACGGCCACCGTAGCAGCGTCCTTCTGCAATGCTCCTACATCAATGGCCGATAATTTTTACTCGACAGGGTAGTTTTTGAGTGATGCATAAACATCAGACGTGTAAACGAACTAAATCGGGAGGGTCAGGCCTTATTTATTTTGAGTGTTAATGCGTAGTAAAGTCGCGATTCTGATCTAAACCCGATTGTCTCAAGCCCCCATGCAAAGCGGTCGAACTAAAGCTGTTATGCTGATGGCATACTGTACATCGCTAATGGCTATCTCGCTGCTGGGTTTTTTTTTGGTTCATGTTTGCCACAATCTAAGTTTTGAATAAAAGAAAAACATGAATAGAGCTATAAGACTCGAAACAGTTCTGACGAAGACTATTGGCAGGGCCAACTATATGCTCAGCAAAGCAAAAATCGAAAATAATCTTGTGTGTGTGTGTGCCCCCCTTCTTAGAGATTTTACATTTTTTAAATGACAGATTTTATTTATCGATTAATTTACGCTCGACCATGGCTATAGGCTGCTAAAACGAGTCCAACCAGAAAATAACAACTAATCTTTTACATTAATCTATTCGCACACAGATGGATATATATTAACATTGTATATCTAAACATGTTCGATAGCTCTTACATGCATCCACCATAGTATATCCCCTGTCCGTATCAATTGTACCACAAATACGAAAGTCTCTGAGCAAAGCGATCAGTGGGTACATGTCGGCCGTTACGTTTTTGCCCCGTTGCCAAATGCCGCCATGTTTTCGTAATGGTAAAAACATTGTGACCAGGATATCGCTATTTAAACCAAACTTTGGTTATTTTTTTTTATTCAAAGACGATTCAACTGCTACACGCGCTAAGGTTTTTTGAGTAAACACTACTGCCAAAGGTAATAAAATATTAAAGATAAATAGATTATGGATCTATAAATATCTTGCTTGATTTCTTTTAGGTTGCATTCTGTTATTTGGGTGCACGTGTTAGTTTTTAGGAAGGACGCGTACCAGCCTATAGTGAATGTAAGGTGTGACAATATTTCAAATGATAACAAATAATATTGGGATACTCGCCACATAGATTTGAGTGAAGAATATTAACTTCAGAATCGCCTCCGAGATTCCTGGCCACATCGAAGTAAGCCGTAGAGTGAAACACCCACCAAGAAGTGCAATTGTAAACTTGTAACATCCTGATTGGTTTTCGGAAGTTCACTCAGCATAGACTCGCTAGAGAGCCACTTATTGTCGAGTGACAATACTAATGAAGGCACTAGCAGCCGATTGCCGGGTCCCCGAGAACTCATTTATAGAGGATTCCGTGCAATCCAAAAACGATGATCCATAATGTTCAATTGCGATCTAACAGAAAAGTATTGCAATAAAATACTAGTCGCCATCTGTTTCCTACGCTTCTGTGACAGACATTTAGAACTTGACATTAGCGTGTACTAACATAATTCATTTAGCGTTTGTTACATGCAAAATCAACGTGTGACAGCTGCTTTTCACTGATATGTTTGTAACGCAGTATACTATTACGTAAGTTATCTCTACAAACCTATGTAGTTACGTCATGGGGCGCCTACGCTCCAGAGGCAATAAGTTTCCAAATCCTTGACAAACCACCGCCTGCTAGCTTTCTCTTTCGGCGGCCATCTCCTTTATCCTCCCTCAACGACTCCCGTGAGAGAGACGACGCTTTTCCGAAGAAATGGAAATCCACTGTGGACAACTAGATGGATAGCTAGGCATTATTATTCGAGGTTCCTGTTTCTTTTTTCCCTTCAACTTCTTCACCTCCTCCATCGTTTTCCACTTCTCGGCCGCTTCCTCGGAGTCAGATCAAACTTTTGAATCTTGCCCGTCGTTACCGCTGCTGCTGCTGCTGCTGCTGCTATTATTTGCGCATCATCGCGTCCATCGAAATCTACGCCAGTGCTGTGACGCGTGTGGTTCGCGCTACAGACACTGACCAAATCATTGACCCGCAGTCTTTCTCCGTTTTAACTTCGTCGCCTTTGACTACGCTGCAGATTCGATGGCAGCGGTAAAATTCAAAAACGCAATTTTGCGCAAATATGGCGCTAACGTGTGTGCACACTCTTGACTTTTTTTTTTTCTGTGTTACTGTTGTCTGATTGTATATGTATGTACGAGCGTATGTAGCTGCTTGTCTGCGGGTATGGGCGACTTTTCGCGATTAGAATTAGCTGATGTTATGCTCGACCGCATCGTATCCCGAGATGGTTTTCTGTGACAGTCGTCGGCATCAAAGCATCGCAATTGTCCCGTAGTAGCGATACGGTGGACACAGCCGCATTGTGGCAGCGACGCCGATGGTGATTGCAGCAAAATGTACGGCGTGTCTGAGCAGCGTCTCTCTCTCTCTCTCTCTCTCTCTCTCTCTCTCTTCTTTCGTAGCTTTGAACCCGCTCTACCTTTTTTGTTGACCTGCCTCTTCTGTATCGTTTGCAGTAGCAATAACAGCTGCAGCAGCAGCTTTCGTCTGCGTCCCACCAGCCAACCGCTTCGGCCTTTCCGCTAAATTTTTATGCTCCCGCGCGTCCTTTTTTTACCGTATGATTACATTCTATTTTTGTAACTGATTTTACACGTACGTCCAGTTGTCGTAATCACTTTGCTTCACTGTCGATACTGATGCGGCTAGCGTTTGTTGTACAATTCTTCTTTGACAGGTTTCCTTTACCCAATGGTTCTGGCGACTCGACTGCCCTCTTACGCGCGAATAAAAAAGCGGTTAGTGTCATCATCGTACACTATGGTATATCTAGATATTAAAGATATTATACTGGGAACACATCGCTCTGTCGAAAACGTACGGACGAAGCCTTCCCGATCTACAGCCAAAGCTCAAATGATTTTTATTCAAAACAGAATTTTTGTACTCTGTGAGAGAGATGCGAAATCTGAATATACTTAAGATATACTATAAATTGGTTAGAAAAAAAAAAGCGCTTGAATATTTACAATCAAAAAATGGGACACACCCACCTGTAGAATAATCCTTGTGCATTATACAGACCTTCTCCCGAAAAATTAAGCGTTTTAAAATGCTCCCGCTTAATTTATAATCAAGCTGGCGGAAATCAAGTATTGCACTTCTAGCTTTTACTGTTGAAATTTGAATTGAATTTTATTAATAGTTTTGAATTAATCTCCTCTCGATCCAAAACTGCCTCCTTTCTTTCCAAAGTGTTTTCTATAAGCGTCGGTTTTTACAACGACTTCACCGGCGAGGCAGACGTCGCAGCTGACCAGAGATTGATTATTTAGATAACATTGACTTTGCAGGCGATCATCAGGTCATCGCTTAAAGTGGCTTTTATCTCGGACGCATTGGCCAGAACGGCACTGATCACTGATAATAACAATCAGTCGAGTTAGATAATACTAGGCTATATTCAAAATGCTTTACCGAATGCTCAGCAGGTGCACGTACACCCGTTCGCATGACGATGTAGTAGTAACGTGTTTAGAGGACGGTGATATGGTTCAGGTTTTAACCCGGGTCTAGGCACACTTTGCCCCATGCTTGTAGCTAAGCGTGTGAAACAACGCCTGACTAAAACTCTCAACTGTTTGATGATATAGATCGATGTATTAATTAATCATTTGTCGCAGTTTTGTTTTATGTAATGAAATATTGATATACGGATAAAAATGTCATATCGAAAAAATGACCCTAAGTAAGTAAGGGTTATATTGAGCACGCTTCTTTTTTCTCTGAATATGTTACAACAAAGGGACGGACCGTTTCCAAGCATAATAAATTCATAAATTGTGTTAGAAAGTGAATGAAAACAATTTAATGCTTCAGCAACCATGTATAGAGCGATTAGCAATTAAAACGGGACAGGGATAGGTTCGTAGCCATTTGATAATTTCTATAGATCGCAAGCAATTAGACCCAGCTATCCAGCCGGGCGCTTCAC